AAAAAATAAATATGCCCATTAACCTAAACAACCCGGGTTTTATGCTGGCCCCCCTTTTTTGGTTGATAAAACTTTTAACCCCCCCCCCCCCAGTATTGCCCCGTGCCTTCGCTTTTTCCGGAAACTTCTTGTTAAATGCATTTTAATGAAATTTTAAATGTATATGGATTCTTCTCCGTAAAATCTGCAATACAGGAGGGGAAATCCTTTGATATTGTTATTTGGCTAGAGAAAATGATACTAGTGGTAATTTCTTCTGTTGCTAGCACGAAATAGACAAATAACACAGATCAGAACACCATTAGTGTTGTCGAATGCCTTGTTTATGCATCGAGGAAGGAAGTAGAGTTCATCAGGAGGTGGAAAACAATATGCGTGGCGGCGGGGGTGGGTGAGGTGCATGAAGCGGCTTTCCTTCTTGATCACTTCTTTAAAACACGTAAACGTGGATTTGCACTGTTGGCGAGAGGATTGGGAGCAACGAGCAAACAGTGATTTCGACGACTTGTGAAATTGTGCTAGATTTTCTCTTCTTTTAAGGGACCTTTCTTATTTCGAAGTTTAAATAGTTCTATTAATTACATATTCTTTTCGCTTCCTCTTTCTCGCTTCCAAGTAGTTCGGCTAGTGGTGGGACATCTATTTCTGTTTGGAATGATTACGGAACTTGTGGCCAGCAGATTTGGGTTATTTCTGAGACCGTCAGAAGATTCTCCCATTGTTCCTCCCACACACACACACACACAACTGCTTTACAGTAGCAATAACTTCTGTTTGTTGACTCTTCTACGCTTAGTGGCAAAAGCACATTCTGAGAAATAGTCCAGGCAATCGCCCCTTTCTCGGGCGCATCGATACATTCCCGGGAGATCAATCCCGGTGCCTAGAATTCCCTCCCCCACCAAATGAGGCGCTTGGCGAAGTGGCTGTTGGCTGGTCTCTCCACTGGACTAGACCAGTTTTTCCGGAGGGGAGGACAGAAGTAGCTTCAAAAACCTTTAAGCCGTCGGCGCTTTTTTAAAGGAAATAAACATAACTGCTACGAGATATGTGAGGAACAAAAAGGAAAAAGAAAAGGAAGGAGAGGCTGAGAAGTAGGAACCTATCTAAACTACTCTTTTCCAAGCTGATTCTCCCTCCCCAAGATGGTACAGTTTTCTTCTCCATCTTGACAACTAAAGGAAAGGGTGGGAAAGGTCGATGCTGATTGGCGCACACACGAGCCGAAGACGAAGGAAGAAGTGAGCGTGCTTGAAAAATTACATTCTCTAATTGGACATAAAATGCGGGGAGGCGGGGCCTGTCCCCTGCTGTGTTCGGGGTGAAGGTGAACTGGAGGATGTGATTGAGATCGCGCGCGCTCGCCTGACGGTTGCTCGGGTTCGACTCGAGGCCAGTTGTGTAACTGCTGCTGGCGCTGACATGGAGTTAAGAGGCGGTTATGTTCCTTTAAGGCTTCTAAGTAACTTATCTGTTAGCGCGCGCGCTCACACACACACACACAGTCTACGTAGCGCTCTCGCAGCCTGAGCCACTTTTTCCAGATGGCCCTCAAGGAGATCACTTCGGGAAGCAACGTGGAATTTCATTTACCAAGCCACATTCACACCCGATCCTTACAAGCACGAATTCAAAAGTGTAACTTGGTGACATCGAAGTCATCCCGAAACCATAAATGGGTCCACGCACACTGTTTACCATGTGCAGAGCTACATTTGGGTAAGGTGGAAGCCCGGTATGTTAGCCTGACTTGTTCTCTCTTAGAAAAACTGATATTTGGTTTTGGAAATCTGTTCAAGTAATAAAATGAATTTCAGTAAATTGTTGCAGCTGGGTTTTACATTTTCTAAACTTTATGCAAAACTGAATTAAAATCAACTTCGAGGCTTCTTTCAAACCAACAATCTGAATCTGTGCTTCCCCAAAATAGTATAGAATAACACAGCTTCCCTACATTATAAAACATACAGTAGAAATTAAAGATCCATGAAATGTACATTTTTATAGTTGGTATAATAATTTCATTTGACTCAGGTGAAATGAACATCAGTAAATATGCTACCTATGATTATTCATTATTTTGTTTTGTATAGTGATACCAGTTTTCATAATACTTGGGTCTGATTAATGTTTGGATGAGAGACTGATGGGAAATTCAATCTAACACTGTAGGCTAGACTGGGGAGTTGAAAAAACCTACCAAACAAAGGCAAGGACTCACACTGCATTACCAAGAAAACTACAGGTATACTGTATGTCCATGAAATCACCAGGAGTTGAGCTCTATTTGAAAAAGACTTCACCTTTTTTTTTAGAGCAACAAAGAAGAAAATACATTGGCCTCATCATAAGGAGTTGCAATTTCAAATCTGTGTTCCAGAAAAGAAAGGATCAAAGTTCCAGGGCTAACTTGATAGGAATATGAAGAAATAGAAGTAGACATACTTAGACTTAAAAGAAATAAATATTAATATCGTTTGTTCCTGTAATGTTACCTAATCTGAAGTTAATCATTATAAGAAGACTGATCTAATTCTATGCAATATTTGATAGGTAAGATCAAGCTACCTAAAGTAATGTTTTCACAAAAACTACAGTGGAGGTAAAGAGGCATGGAGCATGAGACTTACCATTTTAACTCTGTTATGAAGTAATTTAGGTTGCCTTAGGCTATCCACATTCTTTCTACCGTAGTCGTTAAACTGAAATATTTTAGTTAGTTAGTTATATTTCAAATTTAATCACCACCCATCTCACGAGGAAGTCATTCTGGGCGGTTTATAAAAACAACAAATAAATATTAATTAAAATACAGTAAAAATTGTATAAAAATACAATGAAAACCAAATACATACATAAATAATAATATCTTCCAAGGTGCTGCTGGTAAAAAAGATATTAACATACAGGAGCATCTTCAAGGTGCTAGCCATTCCCAGGGTTGATTGCCCCTTTCCTTGCTCCATGCAAGTTGACAGAGCCAGGTCTTAACTGCTTTCCAGAAGGTCAAGAGAGTAGGGCCCTGCCTCACCTCTGGGGGGAGGATATTCCATAGGGCGGGGTCCACAGCAGAGAAGGCTTTCTTTCTGGGCCCCACCAGTCAACATTCTTTTATCGATGAGGTCCGCAACATACCCTCTCTGCTTGACCGGATGGGACGGGTCGATATAATGGGGGTGAAATGGTCCCTCAGGTAACCCGTTATTATTTTATTATTGTAATTTGCTTTACAAGTTTTTTTTTAAAATTATACCCACCTTTTAAAAACAAACACAATAAAACAAATAGCACATTCATAACTAAAATTCAGTAAAATAACAAATCCAATTTAAAGGCAACAGTGGGAAAAATATATTTAAAGTGGCCTGCTTAAAAAGTCCACTGAAACAAGACAGTTCACAAATCCTGTTTAGGAGCAGGAAGGAAACTCCTCAAAAACAGCCCTAAGTTGTATATTTACTTGAGAGAGAGAGATCTTTGAGGAACAAAAGAAAGGGTCTTAGGTTTAATGGTACTATTTTTAGGCAGGACCAAATGAAAGGAGATGATTCCAGAAAAACCTTTATTTCAGGCTATTAAGGTTTTAAAGTTCAAAACACTGAATTGAGCATGAAGTCAGACTAATAGCTACTGAAACAAGTAGAGGATAAGCTTTTATAAACTGATCTGCTGAGCTATGAAACTATGCCAATTACATCCTGGACCATTTAGAATGTATAAATTATTTTCTAGGACAGTCTGATATAAAATGATGCAGTTGACATACCAAGTTAATTTAATAAAAATAGAAACATTCTTGACTGCTATTGTTACTTTCACATCCAAGAAAAGAACTAGGACTACCCTCATGCTGTAAATATATTTTTTGATAGGAAATTCAGTCCAGACTAGGCTATATGAGCCCATATGCAGAAGACTTGTTCTAAAATACTGGTAAGACAGCCAGTAATAGAGTCCCAATTTCCATCAATAATGTACTTGTGTACTATTCATGTTTTTGGAGCAGATTCTCCAAAGGGAAGCTATTTGCAGAGAAGAAAATATCCTGCCATACAAGCAGAAGTCTGCTTACAGTGCATTGGGATTTCACTCAATAGAAATGCTAAATAGCAAGCCATTATTTCAAGGGCTAAACAAGTTGTTGTAAAGGCACTTTTTAATCTAATTAATTATAGGTTTAATTAAGTGGAGCTAGTCATTTTTAAGTGCCATTTAACTGAAATAAGTATAGGTACATTTTGCTAGAATTCTATGTTCTTGTTAGTAAATTGTAATGGCACAATTTCAATCCAGCTTGGAAAAAGATAAATAAATAAATAAGAATTTGAAGTAAATGACCCTTGGAATATTTTAGGGCAGGTGACAGCTGTTAAAATGAAGGTCTCTTCCAAACTTTTTATTTCAATCCCTTCCATTAGAGATTAAAGATAAATAAATAAATAAGAATTTGAAGTAAATGACCCTTGGAATATTTTAGGGCAGGTGACAGCTGTTAAAATGAAGGTCTCTTCCAAACTTTTTATTTCAATCCCTTCCATTAGAGATTCCAGATAAACTATTAATGATATGGCTGAAGAAGATTGAAAGCTTTTGTTTCGCTTCTAAGAAATTAAGAATCAACAGATGGATTTTATATCAGCCACAGAAACAGGGAGGCTGGGGGATCTCAGGTTTAAAAATATGTTATCAAACAACACAATTAAGTCATTTGATTACATTTCTATTAGAAGACATGACTAATATAGAGAATGTATCAGACCCTGACCATTTTTTAAAAATATATACTCTTCTATCCTAAAAGAAATTCTAAAGATAACTAATACTGTAGTGACATTACCAAGACAGTTTCAGATTTGGGGGAAAAATAGTATTAATAGGTGGCGTCTCCCTCTAGCACCTCTGGTGACCTTTTTTAGGAGAGAGAACTAATATGGATTAGCTCAATTAAAATTTTTGAAGAGTTACGACTTTTATAGGGTATATGTTATTTATACCAATACTGGGCCACACAATAAGGAAAAGACTGAACTGTACAACTGAAGATGTACTGGTTGCCTGTTACTTTGAATTTTCTGGTACCAGCTTAACACTGTACTGGGTAGAGAAGTTAGGAATCCATAACTCGCTCATATACTATCTTTGAGAATTTAATATCAAATTATTTGCCACAACCAAAAGGAATGTATAGGGTATTACTGCAAAATGAAATAAGATGGAAGAGCTCTCTTCTAGTCTAAAGGATAATTAAGGGTTCAATAAAAATCAAATCAAACGTTCCTAGAGTGATAATTAAATGTTTATTTGGTCAGAATGGATTGTGAAGTAATAAAGTGTATATATTCAGCCCAGCAACCCTTTCCTATCCAATACCCTTTTGATGTTCTTTCATGCTTAGTCCCATCATCTCTCTAGAAGACAGCATAGGTAGCCTGGCCTTCTCAGCAGCTACAGTAGGGTATTGCCATCTCAGTTCCTTCTGTCTGCTGGGTACTGTTTATGCCATTGTGGCCTAAAGACATTTATGCCAAAGCCAATATCTCAAAAACTGCTTAAAGGCATTTTTAGAAAAAGTTCTCTCCATTCAGGCAAATCCAGCTGCATGAACAGTGAATAGCCTCATCTTTTTTCCAGCTTGAACCCTCCAGTATTCAGGTAAATTCCTGAACAAGGCTCAAATTTCTCCAAGTTTATATATTTACAATATTTACAGCTTGCCCTAATCAACAGGGATCCTGGGCTGGATACAACAGTGATATACAAAAAAAGAAAAAAAATGGAAATACAATTATTAGAATCCCAGTAAATCTTATAGGTACCAATAGCTTAAACTATCCTAAGAGCCAAATGTTCACTGAAACAGTACTGTTTTGCCTAGTTTATAAAATGCCAATAGGGTAGGAGCCATCCATACCTCCAGAAGAAGAGTACTTCAAGAAATGGAAGACACCACTTAGAAGGCCTATTGCCTGGCCCATATCCTATGTACCTCTCAAGTACAGGGGACATAAAACAGGGCCCTCTCTTGATTACAGACCAGGTGGACAGATACGATTCTGGCAAAGCGTTGTAAATGTAAGAACCAGCAAACTGAATTAAGCCCAGAAGTCTACTGGAAACCAATATAGTGACTCCAGGATTAGTATTATTCCAATTGGAAAGGTTTGCCTGTCTTTAACAAGACTGTTTGGGAGTCATTTCCACACATATACCTTTTGTGTATCACCAGTGGCGCACACAGCTAGAAAATATTGGCCTATTTCAAACATCACTCGGCTATAACATAGTTAATTGTTGCTTTGGGTGTTTTGTTAGCCCAGCTTATTGTAGTCTATTCAATAACCATAGTTTTAAAAACCATTGGCAAATGTTATGTGGAAACCCAGCCTATGCACATTTAAGATAGAAAAATTTTGAGTGAAGACTACTTGTTTTCTGAACTTCATGAAATTTCTATAATTCTGGTTATAGAATGTAATGGTTATCATGTCCTCCAGACAGAAACGCACCTGCCTAGTTCAGTCTGTTGATTGCTGAAACAATACATCCATGTGTAACTATATATTCACATTGTTTCAGTTTCAGAGGATTTAATGGTATTCAAGTTAATGCATCAAGAGTTTTAAACTGAGAAGGGAACTTCCATTTTGATAGTTCAGAAAGCACAGGAATGAATATTTTTTAGCCTAAATAGAATGTGTAGTGAGTGATTTGCATGGGTTGAAGAGGACAGGACAGAATGAAGAGACATTCAGTCTTTCCCTTTATTCTCATCTACCCTGCCTCATTGGTGGATGGCTGCCAGTGGTCATTAATGCATCAGCAGTCCAATTATAGGTTTCCAAGATTTTCTGGGTTACTCTTTCATATTTATTTTCCCTCATGTCATGGTTTTAATGACAGGTAAGTAAGCATAGTTAATCTCATGTCTAAAATTCATGACAGCCTAATTAAGAACATTTTTAAGTGTTACAACACAAATGTTTCTTATGAATCTTCACAGCTAATTCTATTGATAATCAGTTTTTCTACTGTACCAAATAGAATTAAAAGTAAAGTAGTGGGTTATCTGTCATTGCTAAAGCCCTGTTAACTATACTGACTAGGATGATCAGTAACAAGGTATTTTCTTCCTAGAGAGTTCTGTAGCTTTTCTTTCTTCTTCTCTCCCCCAGTTTTCCTATCAGAGATCTGTAGAGAGAAATTACTTTTGCATGGAACTAGTGTCATTAAATAGTGGGCCCAGTGTGAGAATGGAGATGCTTAGATACAAAACTGTCCCTGTCTTGCTCTTATATGTTCCATTTTGAAGTGTTATGCTACTGATATTAGATGTATAAGCAAAAAGCTCTATATAGCTAAAGTGAAAGCGATGCTTGTGAGGATGAAGTTGCAGGCAACTCCATCCTCCAAAAAACACCCCTCTATGTATGAATGGTATTTAATCTGTTTCCCTTCAAAGGTTTTTCATTCGTTCATTCAATGTATTCTGTAAAGTACTCCTATGTTAAAACATATCAGGATTGGTTAGTTTAGCAAAATAGCTCAGACAGATGAGTTTAGCTTTTGTTTCACAATAACCTTCATAAATTTGTTTGCTCCTTTTGACTAAGTAACACTTTAGTCCTATTGCTTAGATTACCCAACTTATTGACAGTATTTAGTGTAATAATGTCTTTTGTAGTCTGAAATATTTTTAAAATATCTATTTATTTTTAGCACCAAAAGAAGATATTCATGAATCTATTCTCCATGATTGTATAAACAGTTGATGTAACAATGGTACTAATACTGGGCCGCAGATTGAACAGAGGGGATAGCCGGGTCCAAGAATCCCCAGTTACCAAACGTAAAGTTTTTGAAATGGACCCAAAGGCTTTATCATGCCATGAATTCTTTGATTTTTCTTCTGGATCATCCCATGCTGAAAGCATACTTCAAATCTTCAATGAATTTCGTGATAGTCGCTTGTTCACAGATGTAATAATCTGTGTTGAAGGCAAAGAATTTCCCTGTCATCGTGCTGTTCTTTCAGCTTGCAGCAGCTATTTCAGAGCTATGTTTTGCAATGATCACAGAGAAAGTCGGGAGATGTTGGTAGAAATCAATGGAATTTTTGCTGAAGCCATGGATTGCTTTTTACAATATGTATATACAGGCAAGGTAAAAATCACAACAGATAATGTGCAGTACCTCTTTGAAACATCAAGTCTCTTTCAGATAAGTATTTTGCGTGATGCATGTGCTAAGTTCCTGGAAGAGCAGCTAGATCCTTGTAACTGTCTAGGAATTCAACGTTTTGCTGATACACATTCTCTGAAAACACTCTTTACAAAATGCAAAAATTTTGCACTGCAAAATTTTGAGGATGTGGCCCAGCATGAAGAATTTCTTGAGCTTGGAAAAGATGAACTTATTGATTACATTTGCAGTGATGAACTAGTAATAAGCAAAGAGGAAATGGTGTTTGAAGCGGTTATGCGCTGGGTTTACAGAGCTGTGGAATCCAGGCGCTCAGTTCTCCAAGAAATTCTCACACATGTGAGATTGCCTTTGTTACATCCTAACTACTTTGTTCAGACAGTGGAAGTAGATCAGTTGATCCAAAACTCACCTGAATGTTACCAACTGTTGCATGAAGCAAGAAGGTACCATGTCCTTGGAAATGAAATGATGTCTCCAAGAACTAGACCGCGAAGGTAAGAGGATCTACAGAGTATCTTTCTGTTGCATTCCAAAATATAAATTTTCCATTATATTTCTGTTCAGGATGTTCAGCTGTTGAAAAGCTTCTAGCAGTTGACTTTGTAGTTTGATTTACACATAAGAGTAAACAAATGTTCTGGTTTATGCTGCTCAGTCACTCCCATTTAATTCCACTTGCTGGAGGGACTCATTAAATAAACCTAGAACATTTGTTCATGACTTGTTCAATGTTATACAATATGTGAACTGGGAAGCCTGGCTTCTTCTCTTATCAAATCATATATCAAGAACACCCCTTGTATTATTAGTAGTGTAACAAGTTTAGAGGTTCTGGTTTGCAGATACTGCAAAACCAGGGGTATGCAACCTGCTATCCTTCAGATAGTTAAGGCAGTAAATTCCATGATTTCTCTTTGCTGGTCATGTTGTCCTATGCGAGCTACAGTCCAAAAAATCTAGAGGGCACTAGCTTGGATGGGGCTTACAGATTTAATTAACTATTGTCACTGGTGGGAGGAGTCAAGCTGGTGTGCTTCAGGTGCATCAGTATACTTGTTCAATTCTATTCTCATTGATATATTGACTTAAATTCATTCTGTCTGTTTACTTGTGAACTGGGCCTGTACTCTGTATCAATCAGTAAAGGTACATCTGGAGAACATCTGGAGGGCATTAGATTGCCTAACCTTGCTTTCATATGTGCATGTAGATTAGGAAGAGCTTTTCTTGCCTCACAGCAATACTTGGTTAATGTGAGTATCTTTTCCAAATATTTCTTTTAGGGGGCAAGACTTGAGATCTGGTTCTTGAATATAATGTTTCTGTCAAATTTTAGGTATTGTTACTAAAATTTTAAAGTATTTAAAGTGTAAATATATTGTGTGTTTGTAGATCAACTGGCTACTCTGAAGTTATAGTTGTTGTTGGAGGTTGTGAGCGTGTTGGGGGATTTAATTTGCCATATACAGAATGTTATGACCCAATGACAGGAGAATGGAAATCACTGGCTAAATTACCAGAATTTACAAAGTCTGAGTATGCAGTTTGTGCTTTGAGGAATGACATCCTTGTTTCAGGTAATCATTTTGTATTATATTGGGGGCGGGGTATGGATGAATTATTATGGTTATTTTAAAGAATGGGTCTTTTTTTAATGAGATATCTATCTTAATGTTGCTTTGTGCATTGGAGAATAGCTAAGTAAAGTGAACATACAGGTGACTTATGTATCCATTTCTGAATAACTCTGAAAACTCTTCTGCATTGATATATGTTAATTTCAAATACAGGGAGGATCCAACTTCCAGTGGGGCATCCTATATATCTGGTCTGGTTTCCACTGAAATGTTATTCCAGAAAATGTTCTTTGATAGAAAGGAGTTTTATATTCATTACTCTATGGTCAAGAATTTCTGAAAATATATGATTATTGTGCATTTTATCTTTAGCAGTATATTAGCAACTAGAGGTTGACAAAACATTTCACATTCAAAACATTTTGAGTACAAAGTAGTTATTCTAAATACTGTGGAAGCATTTTGTATTCAAAACATCTTTTGAGCATGAAATGGCCATTCTGAAGTTGAAACACTTCCAAAATGGTCAGAGCAACATCTGTCTAGCTTGAAACAACTATTTCAGATTCAAAATAGAGCATTTCAAGCTTCAAACATTTCAAAGTCAGAAAAGGTTTTACACCTTCTACCTGCAACATAGTATACATTTTCCACAGTGAGGCACAATGACGACAAAATTTGTTTAATAATAACCAATTCTATTTTTTCAAAAAGGTGGAAGAATCAACAGCCGTGATGTGTGGATTTATAATTCTCAACTTAACATTTGGATCCGAGTTGCTTCTCTAAATAAAGGGAGATGGCGTCATAAAATGGCTGTTCTCCTTGGTAAAGTAAGAGATCTTTATTAAAGATACTTAATTCCTTAAGTATGATTGCAATAAAACAACAGGAAATCACGCAGAATTCTCTCACTTAAAGATGAGGTTTGCTGTTGAAACAGATGTCATTTCAGTCTGGTTTGTAGACATATACATGGGGTTGCTGTGGAAAATGGTGTCTCGATGTCAGGTTTTTCTTATTTAACAAGTAGCCTTACTTATTCCTTACAATAATACATATATTTTAAAAAAATTAAAAAACAGAGGTGTCTTGAGCCTCTAGTGTTGTTCCCAATACCCTTCTGAGTTTTGCTCATATACTGGCCCATATGGTCCTGTAGCTTGGCAGCTCTATTTATCTAGGTGGAGATTAGATGGGTGGGTGGATGGGTGGATTTATAGCCAAAAGGCAGAAACAGAAAACACTGCTAAAGACAATGAAATAAAACAACATATTGAATAGCCAATAGAAGAGAATATATGTAGCTCAGGGTTGAACTGTGGAGTCTTTGGTGCTCTCTGAGCTTGGTTGTTAGATTGCATATGCTTCATTACCTGATTAGGTAGCATCATCAGTGCTAGTGGGTGTGGGATTTGCTCCCTATTTATATACAGTAGGCAAGCTTGCCCTCCCAGTGTTGGTGGGGGTGTGGTTTTCTCCTTGGTAGTTCCTTGATTAGGCTATTGTTTACTGTGGAATCCTTGGGGTTCTCTTAGCTTGGTTGTTTTCTTGCTAATGTTTCATTACTTGGCTAGGTAACATCTTCAGTGCACTGCTCAGAGAACCCCAAGGACTCCACAGTTCAACCCTGAGCTACACATATTCGCTTCTATTGGTATTGTTTTCTGCTTGATTGTTTTGATAGTGAATAACCTCAAGGTAGTCAGCAAGTAAATGAAGTTTATAACTATAGGATAAATTTGTGCCTTGTTTTTACTGCTGCTGCACAATATTTGAAACAGTCCAAATTGAACAGAACTTGAAGTCTGAAAAAAAGTAAAATCATATAAAAGTTGTATTTTCTTCCAGAGTATTGATGAACCAAGGGTAAGATATAGGCGTTACAAATGTCCCTATAAGTCAAATCAAATCTTTATTATGATCAAAGACCAGCATAGTCCCTATAAATAGTACAATAAAATAACACATTTTGAACTGTTTTGATATCCCAGGATCCACATGGGCAAACGTGGTTTTTTGTGTGGGATCTTAAGATATCTTCCCTGTAATAATATCAAGGGAAATATATTATACCTAGTCCAGAAAAGACTTTCCTTAATTTGGGAAATGTAAGTAGGGAGAGAGAGCTAACCACTTTCCCTGAACCCTTTGTCACCCTGGTCCTGCTTCCCTGTACCAAGCTATTTACTTCTGCCTGAAACTTAGTATCATTAAATCTGAAGTGTACGTTTGGCAAGATCATATCCCAAGAATAATACGAACCCTACTGATAGGACAAAAACTAATGACAAATGGGCTATCATGTTATTCCAGCCCGATGGAAAACCATCAGCCATTATTAATGGAAGTAAATCTGAAGGGAAAAATGAGAGCTTTAGCCAATAGTTACAATTGTTTATCTGCCTTGCTGGATACCACTGGCTTGTGTGAATGATGAGCTGAGAACAGATGATACAGAATATTAGGATGTCATAATACAAGGTTTGCATCTACTTAGTGACAAGTAAATTTTAATTTTATCATGATAAAAACATTCCTTATCTATATTAGGACAAACTGTTTAATAATACTCTAGCAGCAGTTGTCCTCCAGTTTTACTTGGAAATGTTAATATTCAAACTTTGGATTATTTGCATACAATGGATGTGCTCTACCACTAAATTAAGGTTTGTTGCTAGCCTTCTTGTTTCCAATTTTAAAAAATACAAAGTTGTTATTGTTATTTTGGAGGTTATATATGTGTACATGTATGTATGTGTATAAGTAAATAAAATCTGGCGTATGTTTTTGTTGATTTCCATTTTACTTACTAGGGAAAGGAACAAATTATGCAATGCAGGTTACATGTGCTATTTGAAGCTCCTATGTGAACTGGGGAAGAATTTTGCAACCCAACAAGGTGGTAGAAGGAGGTGTTGCAGCTGATATTATTTCAGTCACAAGTATCACCAATTGCTGAACCAGTTAAGATATATGGGGTGGGGGGAGGTAGGAAGAGAATAAAACCAATTAAAAGCAAAAATAATATGCTCTCAGCTGCCAGTTTTTATACATTTGGGTGAATATTCATGTATAAGTGTCTAAATCTTAAGTGGTATGCCCTACTTGGGCTGCAAACATTCAGTCAACCGTTAGATAGCAGCAAGGAAGTACAAATAAGTCCTTAAGTCTTAGCAGCCACTTAGTGGTCATCTGGATTTTTGCAGCCTGGCTATGGTAGTCCTACATAAGTTTTTGAAAAGCCTGAGGCATATCTGAAGACTTTCAGGTTTTGTGTAACTTACATTTTTGTCACTAAAGCGGATAAGCACATGCTGATAACATTTTCCACATTTTCTTAAAGGTGTATGTGGTAGGGGGATATGATGGGCAAAATCGGCTGAGCAGTGTGGAGTGTTATGACTCATTTTCCAATCGATGGACAGAAGTCGCTTCTCTGAAAGAAGCTGTGAGTTCTCCAGCAGTTACCAGCTGTGTAGGCAAACTGTTCGTGATTGGTGGAGGTCCAGATGATAACACATGCTCTGATAAGGTTTGGTATTTGAATTAATTTTTGCATGTTAGTAATTTTTAAAAATATATTTTAAACTACATACATATGTACAGACATATATATCTATAATGCTGTTCCCTGTTGAGGTAAACAACACTGTACAAAGTGCAGAAAGAGAGTAAGAAGAGAATGAAAGAAATTAAAGGCATGAAATAAAAAATAAGAAAAAAAGAAACAGAGCTAACTCTATATCTTTCGCTATATCTCCCCATTGTGGGGAGATGGGCGGGGACAAATTAAATAAATAATAATATCTTTCCATATATTTCTATCTTTGCAAAGCATTTTTACTCCCACCATGTCT